CATCATCATCATCATCATCATCATCATCACCATCATCATCAGTATCATCATTATCATCATCATCATCAGCATCATCATCATCACCATCATCATCATCATCAGAATCATAATCATAATCAGAATCAGCATCATCATCATCAGCATCATTATCATCATCATCATCAGCAGCATCATCATCATCATCATCATCATCATCATCACCATCACCATCACCATAACCATCATCATCATCATCATCATCATCATCATTTGCATCATCATCAAAAACGTCATCATCAGCAGCAGCATCGCCACCATCAGCATCATCATCATCATCTTCATCATCACCATCCTCATCATCAATATCGTCATGAGCAGAATCAGCATCATCAACATCGTCATCATCAGTATGAGCACAAGCATCATCATCATCATAATCGTCATCGTCGGTAGCAGCATGATGATGATCATCATCATCATCATCATCACCATCATCAGAATCATCATCATCATCATTATCAAAGTAATGATTAGTATTATTAATAATAGTAGAGTCATACGACTAATACCCATAATAAGAAGGAGAAGCATCAACATCATCATCATCATCATCATCATCCTCATCATCATCATCATCACCATCATCATCGTCATCATCAGCAGCAGCAGCAACATCACCATCACCATCATCAGCAACAAGAGCAGCATCAGCATCAGCACCATCATCATCATCTGCATCATCACCATCAGCATCAGCATCACCGTCACCATCAGCATCATCAGCATCATCATCACCATCATCAGCATCATCATCAACATCATCATCATCATCATCATCATCAGCAGTAACACCCTCACTATCATAATCATCATAAACATCATCCTTATCAGCATCATCATCATCGGCATCATCGTCGTCATCGTCATCATCATCAGAACCATCACCACCATCACCAGCAGAATCATCATCGTCAGCATCAGCATCCGCATCAGTATCATCACCGTTATGCAATAATCCTCAGCATCATCATCAGCAGCATCATCATCGTCATCATCGTCATCCTTATCCTAATTACCATCATCATCAAAATCGTCGTCGTCATCATCCTCCACATCCTCATCCTCATCGTCATCATCATCATCATGATCATCATCATCATCCTTATATTCATCATTATCATCATCATCATCATCATCATCATCATCGTCATCATCATCATCACCATCATCATCATCATCATCATCATCATCATCATCATCATCATCATCATCATCATCATCATCATCATCATCATCATCATCATCATCATCATCATCATCATCATCGTCATCATCATCATCATCATCTTCGTCATCCGCCTCCTCCTTTACCGCCCCCGAAGCCCCCACCGCGCGCTGATGCCCTGCTCCAGACACTCCGCGGCCAGGGTGTGCCGGGCGTCCTCCTCGTGCAGCCTCGCGTCGGCCTCGAAACGCTCGATGGCGATCACCGCCTCGCTGAGCTGCAGCTCCTCCGCTGGGCGCGCCAGGATGCCACCCAGACGCCCCAGCCTCCATAGGACGCACACCAACATACTCATACGATATGTCCTCCTTGGAGGCGCGCGTCCGACCCGAACATTTAGTATACCCATCTTGTAATAGATCGTTTCCCGAGCGGCGTGGCCAGAAAGCGCCCGCCACGACGCATATACTACAAGATTTCTCGGTTTGCGCATCGCCCCTGGGTGGGCGACGCACACATAGCATAAGTATGTTGGGGCGACGCCGACTCCAGGCCCAGCAGGAACTGCCGAAGAAAGCACGGGGGTCGTGGGGCCGTGGAAGCTTCGGAGGCTGAGCCATCAGAAACCCTGGAAGCAGTCCGGCGGGCGCCCCAGGAGGCACCAAAAGTCAAGAGGCCCCAGGAGGCTCAAGGCCTCACAGAGGCCCCAGAAAGCCTCGGGAGGCTCGAGAACTGACGCGCCAAGATGCACCCAGGCAGGGCTTCGAGCGGGCGTCGCCATGCAGCGCACGGAGGAAAGGGAGACGACGGAGGGAGGGAAAAGCAAGGAGGAGGGAAGGAGAAGAGTGGAGCGTGGACGGAAGGCAAATAAGAGGGAAAAACAAGGAGAGGGAGGGGGGGAAGAGGAGGGAGAAGGAGGGGGGGAGGAGGAAGGAACAGGAGGGGTGTTTGTGTGTGAATGTGTTTGCGCCAACTCGCCCCCCTCGTTAAATTTTCTGTCCACGTGTTCCTCTGTTTGCTGCCCGTCCCTCTCCAGCACGCCCTCCCCTGTCCCACACCCACGCGCGCGCGTGGGCACACACACACACAAAAGGGCACACATGTTTTGACGTCGCGGCCCTGCGCGCAGCGACAGGGCGGAGAAGGTCGAAAAGCAGCAAACGCGCGCGCGCGCGCGACTAAGCACGCCCGAGTCCACGGAGACCCGCTAGGGTCCCGCAGCCGCCCGCAGCCATAAGCCATCCAAGCCTGAATGGCAGGGGGGCGGATGGGAAGATGAGACTACGATGCAGTGGGGGGTGGCATAAACCATCTGGGACTGGAAGGCCGGGGGGGCGAGTAAGAAGACAAACGCACACACACACACACACATAGAATGTATGTATATGAATAAATAAAACAAATTAGAAGTTGGCGTAGACGCAGCAGCAGCAGCCGACGTCGTCGTCGTCATCATCCTCTTCGCAGTGGTCGTAGTAATGGACGTCGTCGTCGAAGTAGTCGTAGTAGTATTCGTAGTAGTCGTAGTCGTAGTACTAGATAGATGGTAATAGTAGTAGTAGAAGTCGTAGTAGTAGTAGCAGCAGCAGTAGTAGTAGTAGTAATAGTAGTAGTAGTAGTAGTAGTGGTGGTGGTGGTAGTAGTAGTAGTGGTAGTACTAGTAGCAGTGTTAGTAGTAGTAGTAGTAGTAGTAGTAGTAGCAGTAGTAGTACTAGTAGTAGTAGTAGTAGTAGTATCGTAGTAGTAGTCAAGTAGGAGTAGTAGTAGTAGTAGGTAGTAGTAGTCGTAGTAGTAGTATAGTAGTTATACGTATAGTAGTAGTGTAGTTAGTAGTGAGTTAGTGGGTAGTCATATAGGTCGTAGTACCATTAGTATAGTATAGTAGTATAGTAGTATAGATCTGAGTATATGTATCGCTAGTAGTAGTAGTGAGCAGTGGTATATAGTAGTGAAGTAGGTCGTAGTCAGGATGTGTAGTAGTATCGTAAGTGGTATAGTAGTCGTATGGTAGTAGTAGTGGGTAGTCAGGGGGTGTATTTTCTTTTGTGTTGGATAAATAGTATTATGTATGGTTGGTAGTGGTAGTAGAAGAAGTACTAGTACTGATAGTGGTAATAGTAGTAGTAGTGGTAGTAGTAGTCGTCGTCGCCGAAGTAGTCGTACTCGTACTAGTAATGTGAATAATAATGGTAGTGGTCGTAGTGTTCGTCGTAGTCGTAGTCGTAGTAGTCGTGGTAGTCGAAGTGGTCCTAGTAGTATTAGAAGTAGCATTATCAATAGCAGCAGAAGTAGCAGTAGCAGTAGCAGTCGTAGTAGTAGTAATACTAGTACTAGAAGTAAGAATGTAAATAGTAAATGGCTGTCGTCGAAGAAGTCGTAGTCGTACTAGGGGTTTAAGTAGCAGTAGTAGTAGTAATGGTAGTAATAGTAGTAATCGCAGGAGTAGTACAAATAGTAGTAGGAATGGTAGTAGTAGTAGTAGTAGTAAAAGTAGCGATGGAAGTAGTAGTAGTAGTAGTGATAGTAGTAATAGTACCGAACCTGGTAATAGTAGTAGTAGTAGTAGTAACCGTAGAAGCAGCCGTAGTAATACAGTAACGGTGGTAGTAGTAGGTTGAATAGTAGTGGTGGTAGAAGTAGTAGTAAATCACAAGTAGAAAAAAAAATAGCACTAGGAGTAGTAGTAGACGCAGAAGCGGCACCAGTAGTAGTAGTAGTAATGGTAAAACTAATAGACTTGGACATGCTAGTAGTAGTAGTAGTAGTAGTAGTAGTAGTAGTAGTGCTAGTAGCAGCAGTAATACTAGTAGTAGTGGTAGTAGTCGTCGTGATACTGAAAGTGGCAATAGCAGATGTAGTGAGACTACGAGTAGTACCAGCCGTAATTTACCAGCAGCAGTACTACTACAACTACTACTACTACTACTACTACTACTACTACTACTAGTTGATGTTGCTGCCGTAGTAGTAGTAGTAGTAGTACTACTACTGCACTACTACTATTACTACTACTACTACTACTACTACTACTACTACTACTACTACTACTACTACTACTACTATTGTTGGGAATAGCAATACGAACGCTACAAATAATAACAATCGTGGAATCGTAATAACAGTGATGACAGCACGATGCGCCATCATGGCAGTAGTAAATGGTAAGATTGGTTGTAGTAGCATTGATAGCTATAGTAGTGGTAGTAGAAGAACTTGTACTTTTACGAATCGCATTACGAGTAGTAGTAGTATTCGTACTACTACTACTACTACTACTACTACTACTAGTCGTAGCAGTGGTGGTAGTGGTCGTCGTAGTGGTATTGGTTGTGGTAGCAACACGAATAACAATAGTTGTAGTAGCAGTGATTGCAAAAATACGAATAAGAAGAAGAAGAAGAAGAGCAGCACTAAAAATAACAGTGGTACTCAGAATAAAAGTATAAGGATAAGAGTAAGAGCGTGCATAGGAAGAGGAGCAGGAGAAGGCACAGGAGTCGGAGAAAGAGTCAGAGCAGGAGTACGTAGGAGTAGGAGCCAACTTACCAAATCGAGCGAGGCAAATGCCCCCGCCTTGCCCACCTGCCGTGACGCACCTGGATAGTGGGATTGGAACACGTTCAAACCTCGCAAACGAAAGGCATTCGCGCGCGGCTCCGCTTTCGACGACCTGGCGAAAAGAAAACTACGCGGGCCGCGCAGGGGCCGGAGCGGCTAAATTCGGCGCGCAAGCGCGGGAACGCCACTTCCGAGCGAAATGCGCACGGAGCTTTGGCGAGGGCGAAAAGTCGCCCGC